GGCCGCGTCCCGCGCGGGCTCCGGCAAGGGCACGGCCGCCGACCGGGGGCAGGGCGACCCGCGAGGACGGTAAGTGCCTGTCTCACTTTTGCTACTTAGTGGCTATTTCCATGTTAGGGGAGAGGTTTCCCAGCGGAGCCCTCGCGTGGGGCAGGCCCTCCGCGGAGGAGGGGTCCTCGAGGGTTCGCCCTCGAGCCTGGAGCCTCGGCCGCTCCAGGACGCCCCGGGCGCAGCTCACAGCCTGCAACTTGGGGTTCTGCGAGGCGCAGCCCCGAGTCTCAGGTGTGCGGGCCATTCGCCAGACAGGATTTTGCAGAAAACGTAAAATAGGGGTAGCGGGCATCTCCCACAGAGCAGAAAGAAAAGAGGAAGCGTCTTTTTTGAAAGGTTAGATGTGTGCGGAAGGGCTCTGGGGAAGCCACAGCCCTTTCTTAAAAATTTCATTCACTTCCTAAATCAGCCCTACTGCTGCTTTTTTCCTACCCCCCCCCTTTTTTTCTGCTTGCCCGCATTTATGGAGAGTTGATTTAGGGGGCCCCTGGTCAAGCACTGGCGGCCACGGGGCCGCCTGAGTGAAAGGCCCTTGAGTGGAAGCTGTTGTTTATGGCGGCATAAAATGAAAAACAACTCATAACTTTGCGTAATAAATCCCTCTTTATAGGTGGCTCACACACAGGCCTGGCCCCGGCTCTGGCCAGTTTGGGGGGAGCAAGAAAGGGGTGAAGGAATGCACCTTTGCCGTAATTACGGGGCTTTAAGGTAACGCTGAAATTTTTTTTTTTTTTTTTTTTTAAAGTTGGGTTTCCGAAGCCAAGGCCGCCTCCGCAGGCCAGCGCTGTCCTCATTTTCATTTTAGCTCGTTGGTCCTGGCTGTTTGGGATTTTGAAATGCATGTTTGTACTTGCGTGTGCCTTCCCTGCTGAAAGGAAACCCATACCTGTGGGGATTAAGCCTCCTGCCTTTTTATTATGGTCACATCACAGGTGCGATTTCCCCTTCGCTCCCCCCCCTCCCCGGCTTGTGATGTGGTTTCGATAACCTTTGCTGGGTGCTTTGACCATAGTATACTGGGGAGGGGCGGCCTGTTTCCACAACACCCCAGAGTTGTGAGCTGGCACATGGAGGCCCTGTTTCCGGGAACATGGACAGAGGCCTGAAGAGCCCAGGCCTCCCTCTCCCGGGCTCCCCGGCTCCCAGGAAGAACCCTGAGGAAGGAAAGCGTTTGAGTAAGGTCTG